AGGGAGACTAGTACCTAAGCCGGTTCCTAAAGAAAATGACTCTCCTCTACGTGCAAGAAAGCATAAACTACAATTACCTTCTACTCTAAGAATGTAAAGTATGGACACAGATAAGTACTTCTGCGGGTAAAGCAGAAAGATAGTTGTTACTTTTGTCGTCTTTTTTATTGTGTCTTTTTTCAGGTTCGATAGCAGTTGAATGCACTAAGGCCAAAGGCAAAATGGCAGTAACTGTGACGTTTTATATGACGTCATCTTATCTAGACTAACTGTAACAATCCTAAAGTAATATCTCTGGCATGATTTCAAAACAAAAATCGCGTATTTTTTAAGAGGAAATCGAAGGTTTCTTTATAAATCCAGGATGGCGGCCAAAAAAAGGGTATGAAGGGCGAATTTAAAATTCGGTTTACAAAGTGAAAGCTACCGCTCTGTCCTTGCTATCATGCATTTTTGTGATGCTTTTTACACAAAGATTAAGATTATACAAGTTTTGTTTGTTCTCTTTAAGTGAGCCATAAGGACCCATAAGACCCTCCTAGCTGATGGACTGTTATGTCACAATTTTTTTTAACATCTACACAGTCTACATCTACGTTATTACTCTTCAACATTTAACACATCAAGAAGAGTTAAGAGATATAAAAATATAATGTTTCTTTATACGCTGGCTTGATTATTTCAGAATATACTAATTAATTTTGCAAGCACTCACGTTACGTATGCATACTGCGTATAGTTAATTCAATTGGATGAAATATCTCTTTGGTGTTTTTTTCTAATTGCAGACTGAAATTGAAATGCCATTTAAATTACTACGTGACGATTGAGCTGACAGCGTTGAGATTTTTTGCCTAATACTTGAATAATTTAAAATCGTGTTGTCTCCTGACGTATTGTCGTCATGAATAAATACGACATCCTTGCGGATTTACGTTTTGGTTTTTGTTTTCCGTGTTAAATATGTAGCGCACGCAGCACCAGTCACTACTGCTCACGGTTTTACTGGTTTATATACGGTTCAGTTTCTAGCTTCGATTACACTAAAAACGAGCTGAGTGAATTAAATAAATCACAGCCTGACGGAAAAGACGCAACAAAATCAGTTTCAAACTGTGCGCCTGAAAGAATTTCAATTAGTCATCAAAGAGATTATTTCAATGTGACGTCGTTTTTGAACGCTTCTTTGGTCTTTTCCAGCTATCATGCACGTAAAGCTTTCTTTGTCAGATTTAACGAGCACATGGGATATCAGTGAAAATGTTGACGAATTTTTAAGAGCCAAGTTGGCCAGCAGGCTTCGATGCAAGTTAGACATAATACTGGCTCGTGTGTATTGTTGTACATACCACTGTTGGAAACAAGAAACGAAATTATTAGTAAGAAAGAAAAAACAAACAAAAAAAACGCCATACATACTCGATAATCCTTTTTTTAGTTTTCGGATATCGGATAACCCTGACCTTTGAAGCATGGCTGCCGCTTCCTGTCACCGCTTAGAACGCGTTCAAGGTGTTTAGAGGGGGAGGGGGGGATGAAAATGAAACTCAACCTTATCCTCACATGTATGATATACTTTAGGGTCAAGTTTGCAGCTAAAATGAGTAGTGACAAAATCGCGGAAATCCATACGTCACGCTTGACGTAGCAGACGCAGATAGAAACGTGCTTACTATTGGCCGCGGTTAACAAGCGCATGTTCCGCAAATTAAATCAAAATTAAAACAGACATAATACACTTCCTTTTCATGAACCTCGAAGGAAAAGTAACACACTTTATTTTATTCTTTATTGTGAAATCCACAGGAGTACAACTCACCAGAAGGAAAAATTCTTCAGGTTATTTACTTGTTAGATATAGTTGAACAGAATATATTGAAAACAGAGGAAACTACGAAGCAATTAGCAGGTACACTGTTCATCATGAAATCACAGCCGCACTGCAGATGCGTTTGGAGCGGTTTAGTTTGGAGCGCATTCTTCTGTACTTCATTTCTCCTAACGGCTCCAGGTATGTAAAATTCTCCTTTGAATTCAAAAAGTATACTTTTGAGTTCGTTTGATGGGGGTAACGATAATAAATAACGCACAACATAACGACTTTTTACACTGGGAGCCCCTGTTACACACACATTAAGGTGCAATGATATCGCGTAGAATACTTAACTAAAATCATGATATATAATTGCTCATTATAGTGGGTATTTTTACACCAAGTGTAAGTATAAAACTATTGGACTAAGAGTAAAAATATACGTTAGTCTCTGGTTTGTATTCGCACCACCAATGATAAATAAAATCGCTCAAAAAACCGTTTATGAGGCAAAAGGACGACTATACACCACAGGCAAAGTAATTCAACGTTTATTTATCATTGATTTATATACATAGTTAGCGATATATCGCTATAGGTGAAGCAAACGGTAAATCCAGTACATTTACTATAAAATAACAATCGGCTACACAAACAGATTGTGTGGTCACCCTGTGATTTAATATCCAAGGACTGTGAATAGTGTTTCCATATTTTTTAGCTGGCACAAAAACTTCGGAGGAGTTATAAAGCGGCATAGTTATCTGCCATGAAGAAAAGTTAGTCATGGGTGAGACAAACAGCGATCTCGAACGAATTTTTAAATGGTATAAAAATCAGGTAAAAAATGTGTTGGCGATCGTTTCATCTATTTACATTGTTTAAAGTGCGTGCTGATGAAAGCAACATACGAGCGAAGATTTTATTCCTTTGGTTTAAGTTAAGAGACAAATACCAAGAGGAAAATTTTAAAGCTGAATATTTTTTATCTTGTGGAAAAAATAGTGCGTTTTCATGTAGACTGTATACCGCAATTTAGTATCGTCTATTTAAAGTCTGAGGGTTGCAGTCAGTGAGGCCCCTGCATCGGGATCAATGGGCAGTTCGCTGTCTGTTTTAGTAAACTTCTGGTTTTCTTACAATACAATATTTCTGTCTAGTGTAAATCAGCCAAGTGGCGAGTAGCTGACCCTGTTGCATTTTATACTCGTAGAACAACAATAAGTTTTGGAATTTCCGGTTACGTCAAATTACTCATGTTATACTGTCCCGCTATATTTTGGGGGACAGAGGGATTGGGGAAGGGGTGCGTGGAAATAATGCAAATCGTTTCCTGCTTAAAATTAATGGTTAACTTGTTTATTTTTATTCATAATGGTGGAATTTAAAAGTTGTTATACAGCCCCCCACTTAAAAATGGTACTCATTTTTTTGTTACGAAAGTCTTTCAAAAGGGTACGATGTTTGAATGAGTTTATGTTTCAGTGTCACATGAGATTTTGTTTCACGCAATGGTCGGCGACAAGATGTTATGGTAGCCTGAGTGTGTAAAGCCGCCCCCTCCCCTCAGAAAAAATAGCCCCGCGGCAGCCCAGTTAAAAAACGCCTTTCAGCGATTCTTGTCTGAACTAAAATTCGCTACTTGGGTCAACGTTTGCTGGGTATGCGCTGCTGGCTTCTCAAAACTCTTACCCCAATATAGGGTAAGAAAATTTGGTTATTTATGGGGAATTGGGGTGCGAGTAGGATGGGACCCTGGGAACAAGTTTGTTTCTGTTCATGCACCACCTTATAATTATAAGGTGATGCATGAACAGAAATATAAAGCATTTTTTAAATAAGGTCAGTGATAACGAAAACACATTTTTCAAATTCCTAGATGCAAAATTAATTTTTCTTAACCCCAAGATCCCGAAAATGTGCGACCCCATACCAGTTATTCTTGAAAATATAGTCAATCCAGATGTAAAATGCGATCCATCTAGCGGCACATCCCCATTAGCCTATTACTAGGAAATGCCCTCTCCGGGAGGGATCGTAAAGTCCCTTGCTAGTAACTCCAATGAACGCAGCGAGTAGTAAAACGCCCTTGATGGGTACGTGGCAACGCTTGGTTTATATTTAGCCCCGTTTTGAGCGTGGCTAGCAAAATTCAATCTACATTAGTTATACGCTTTATGTTGTTTTTGACAATTATTTTACATTTTTCCTGAAATAGATGATTTTCACCATTGCAAAAGGCATGTAATTCATGTCAAACAGGGACAAATTGTGTTTAATTGACTGCTTTTGTTGAAGGTCCTATTGTCGGCGAAATGTTTCTTTCTACACCACTCTTTCGTGTTATCATCAAGCACAATTTTCTTACTGATCTCCATACAATGCAATATATAGACAAACAAGCGGCTTGGACATAATCGTGCCAAGAACAACTTGATTGCAGGGCATGAAACGATTTTCAAGAGATTTTGGCTCTCTAATTTAGCAATCCAATCATCTAGTGATCTATGGCGAAGCGCAACATCAGTCCCATTAACTTTCACGAGGACATGCTGACATCTGGTACACCAGCGCAAGACTAGGTGATACCGCCTCAACACTGCGCAGCTCATGATCAGGCATAAGATAGTTAGAAATTTTGGATCGGTAGTCGGACCAATCTTTAAAAAGCTTAATGCTATTTGTCCGTTTACCTCAGACTTCAGAGTCTTCTGCATGTTTTCAAAACATGTTCTGATTGGATAACTTTGTTTTCCAAGGGCTCTATCTGGTATGGTTTTCGTTCCGGTGCAAACGCTAAATCGATTCTAAAGCGTCGATCGCATTCTTAGCATTTCCAACAATTTTGACGGCGTTAGTTGTGCGGCGATGACAGCAAATAAACCTGCTAAAAAACGACCCTCACATTCACAGTTTTTGTTTTGTTTATTTTCCCGTTTCCATCGTCGTTGTGGTTGCACTGAGCTCGCTACTAGTGTTACCACGCAGAACAATTCTTAATATGGAACGATTTTGCCTGAAAGCTCGACGATTTGATGAAAAACGCGCGGACGAATTACGAAATCGACGTTCGCAGGTACCCATACAGTGGCTCTGTCATGAGGATATTGCCTTTTTTGGTCAATTTTGTGCTAAAATTATAACTTAGTGTCTCTACCCTTACACAAAATGCTCCGGTAGAGTAGTTATGAAGAAGATAACAAGTAAATTTCATCTGGGAGCACTAACCATAGTAATTCAGTTGTCGGGTGATTTTTTCAGGCGTAGCATTACAACTTGAAAAAGCTGGCCCAACGTTTTAAAGTTTCAATCCATGTTCATCCTTGCCACAGACCTGCCAACTCTCACGATTCTACCGTGAGTCTCACGATTTTTTAACGTTTCTTATGGCCTTTCGACAGGCCTCCCGATCCCACGGTTTTTGGTGGAATATCATTTTGAAATGAAAATTTACCTTGCTGAATAAAAATGGAAATTTAATGGGGCCTGTTTAAGCCTTGATGGCACTTTGTCTGACTAACACTTTGGCGATGAAGTTGCTTATCCGGAATCGAACGACCCCTTGCTTTAAGTTTCGTCCCAGTTATCCCCTCATCCCTGTCCTTAAAGTCATTAAAGAAAAAAAAACGCGGCATCTTGTTACGAGAGTGACGATATTTAAATAAACAGTTAATTCACCCGCGGCCCAATGGAAAAAAGTTTCGTTTAATTTGGAACGGGAGAAAATTGGATCTCACTACTTTTTGTAGAATCTCCAGATTTTTTTTCTTGGGTCTCTAGATTTTCCGTTATCATCGGTTGGCAAGTCTGTTGCCATCCGTTGCAACAGACGGCATAGGAAATAATTTCAATAAAATTATATTGCCTAAATATAGTTTTAAATAACAAAACTGGTCCATTATGTTCGGAATTCAATTGACGCGGACAAAACTTTTAGCTTTATAGAAAGATATTAACGGGGGGGGGGGGGGGTACTCCCTTATACAAGCCATATAGGCCATTTTGGTCTGGAATTGGATATGGCTTTCGAGGAAACTACAGGAGTTTACGAACGTATTTATGAGTAAGAGTAAGAGAGAAAGAAATACGCGAACTCGAAATAAATTTTAAGAAATATTTTAATATGTTGCTGCTCTTATTCATATAAGTAATGATGACATCATTTCTTAGAGGCCAGGTCTGAAAACGGGCTGAAAATGACATTTTTTGGTCTGAGAATGTCTGAAATAGGGTCAGGATTTGGAGAACCGGGCGGCACACCCCCACCAGAAATTCCCGGGAATACCCCCGGCCCCGGGGATAATAAATAGGGTGATGTAGCCCCTTTCAAGTCTCAGATACTTCTAATCTTGTTCTTACATGGTGGTGAAAATTCAAGACGTATTTGTACTGGTATGTTTAATTTTTTGTAGGTGTGAGAGCTCTAAAGTTCCTACAGGATCCTCCATCAATCCAGACATCTTATGTTGGTTGGACTATTGACTTCAACTGCACAACAGATGACCCAAATGCCAGAGTGTCACTTCTACAGTCTAAATATCATGGGTATCCTTATAGTGTTTTACAGGTCTCACCAAACAAACTTCTTTTGAGGAAACAGGTGTTCACCATAGTAAATCTTATTCTTTCGGATGGAGGATACTATAAATGCAAGGCAACGGACCAGTCAGGTCAAACTATTGAATGGCCAAAAAATTCTGCACTGTTGTCTGTACAAACAGGTCTGTGAGAAGGTTCTAAGTAATGACACTCTATCCACTGTATAATTATAGGGTGAAAGGTATTTTTTTTCAATAACCAAACGATCCCTTTTTGGATTTGTTATATTTCAATGCTTTTGAAGGTGTTACTCATCACTGTTAATCAATAGTGAACACAAAACTTTGACACCCTTTCAAACCCCATGGCACTTTCCGCTCCGGACTGTTCAGGAGATGAAGATGATTTTTTTTAACCCAGAAGTTACTGTCATGTAACTTCTCCTTACAATGTCAGTACATTGCTCAGCAGACATGTGATGAGAATGTATAAGCCAAAGGAGTTTAGTTTTCTTATAACCCCAAATTCTCAATACCAAGGAAATGTATAGCAGCCAGAAAGGAGAATTGTCAATCTGATCTTGGGAGTTAAAGAGTTAACAATCAAGACCTTTTTTAAATTTTAGATCATTTATCTATGACTTATGCCATTTCCTCTTTTTGTTTAATTGAGCAGTATTACTATAAGGAGAAATAAATTGTTTCTTACTCATAAGGTTTAAAGACCCCCTCCCCCCGCCCCACAACCCTGTAGAGCCAACAGGCTCCTAATAATGTGAGCACCAAACATGAGCACCCGTTTTGAACCTGTATCTTGAACGTTTCTGCAGGTAAAGAGCCAACGCTTGAGTTCAAACCAAACAAACAACCAATCTATGTGCTGCAAGGGCAGAGTGGAGAAGTCACATGTGAAGCTGAATACCCTTCAGTTTCTAAGCTAAAGTGGGAAAAGCAACAGAATGATAAATCATATGCAGCCGTCCCCAACAGCCAAGTTAACATCACTGAAGATGCAAACTATGTGAGAGCAACCCTAAAGATTACAAATGCCCAGTTCGCGGACACTGGTACATACAAATGCACAGTTCAATATCCACCAAATAAATCAGATTATAAGGTGACAACGATAACCGTCCTGGGTAGGTTAGCTCTATTGTATTCCATTGTAAGGTTACAATTAATCGCATTTTACCTACAACACAGTCAGTGTTACATCAACAGTACACCGTTCATATGACTACAGTGGAACCTGGTTAATACGGACGTCAACAGTCATGTCATGGTGTCCGTATTATCCGAGTGTCTGTCATGCGGACACATGATTTAGGAATCAAAATACGATTCATTTCATATATTCCAATTCGTGCCATTTCCATCACCGAGCATATTACAAACTCACAATGGCCTGCTTTCCAGTTGGCTTGATTAGCTTAATGGATAAAGCGTTGCGTCTAGTCCTATTAAAGGTCAGGGTTCCATCCTTGATTCTCGGCCCGAAAAAATCCAGGTTCTTTTTCAACCACTTTTAGGATTTTAATTCAATTGTGAATATCATGCATACGAACAAGAAGTGATTTTGAGAAGCATTTCACTATAAAAAATTGCGATAAAACATTTCTTAAAATCATTTTAAGATTAAAAAAAAATGCTAAAAAGCGACGACGTTTCGACGTTAGCTGAACGTCATTAACAAGTCAAAATAAGTTAGTGATTTTAACTTAACTTAACTTATAACTTATTTTGACTTGATAATGACGTTCAGCTAACGTCGAAAAGTCGTCGCTTTTTAGCAATTTTTTTAATCTTAAAATGATTTTAAGAAATGTTTTATCGCAATTTTTTATAGTGAAATATCATGCATGTTCACTTTTATTAGGACGTGATTGTGACAAGGAAAATTGACGGTGCGCAGGTAACTAGAGTTGAACAATGAGAGGTTCTCGCTTGTATACACCAAATTTCCGAAAAAAAAAAAGCTAATAATAACACCTTTTTTTACTTCCTTGCAAATTATCAATTTTCTTCAAAAGTGCTTCGTTTTGTGTCGATAACCGCCAAACATCCAGATTGTCCAGTTTTTACTGTATTCCTAACCATAAAAATTTCATCTCAAAATATATCGAAAACGCTCTCATAGATATCGCTTAAACTTCACGAACAACGAGGCAGCTATTGGAGAATAAAGCTCCCGCGAACGATTTTGGAAGAAAAGTTCCCAGTGCCGAGTCATTTCGTTGTTAAGACAACTCCGATGTCATGGTAACCCTGATCAGAACAAATTTGTATCCTCATTTAATACAGCTGTGGTGGTAATTTTTCCAGATCTTTGTTAACGTCGAAGTTTAAGTTTATGCTCAAAGTTAAGAGGTAATGACCCTTAAAGGGACAGGTTCACGGTTCAGCGCATGCTCATTAATTAAATTACTTTTTTTCTAATCTATTATTAATTCTATCGGTTAATAATCCCACTCACATGTATATCAGCGATCTCAGAGTGTTTTCAAAGTAGAAGTGTGTTTCACAGTAACCTAAAGTAGGATGGAGGAGTACTAAAATTGCGGAAAAAATTATTGGATTATGCCAACACTACCAACATTGAATTTATTGTTGACCCGAAGGTTTTATTCCGTGGTTGATTGATTTACAGCTACTTGCAAATATTTAAGTTGACCAAGTGCAAGTGACTGCGGCCAGGTGAGTGTGCAGATTGGTTCTTTGACCACATTATGACGTGATCATATTGCTTGCATAGACGATACAGCATGTCCCGGCAGAAAAGCAGCATTTTGATTAATGAGCATGCGCTGAACCGTGAACCTGTCCCTTTAAAACCCATATCAAGCCACCTGAATGCAGCTCTATACACAGTGTGCGTTCTCACTTGATACATTTGTGATCCCCCGCATGATTTTGATGCACTAGAGATAGCACGCTCACAACACGCTTTAACTTTAAAACCGAAAATCATTTGCTTTAACAAGAATTAGCACACAAAAGCCATCTTGCAATTACCTCAACGGAGACGTAATTGACCACAAAATACTGTGAAACTTGAATTAAGTGGACAGTATCTGTGGGCTTCAGAGTTTTCCCTCTCATTTTCTCTACAGCAAACATGTATTTAGCGGTAACAGACACCAGCGAAGGTACCGTGGGTGTCTCGGTTTTAGTGCATGGCAGTTATCATATTCTTCGGTTTGTTCTTTTCATTTCTCGTAAATAATCATCACTAATACACCCTTTTCATATCGGGCCTTTTATTCAGAAGGGGGATGTTGCTGGTACGAAAAATGTATAAATTTTCAATGTTAAATCTGTTTCATTCTTGCATGTAGCCCCTTTAGCACCTACGATACTCTCTAATACAAGACAAGTAACAATACGTGAGGGATCTACGAAAGCCATTAAGTGTAAAGCAAGAGGGCATCTTAAGCCAACGGTCAAGTGGTACAGAGATGGTGAGAAACTGAATGTCACGAACTGTCATACAAACCCTCAGAGTTGTGATAAAGTTAACTATGAGGTTTATGAAGAAGGAGATGGTTCTTCTGGACTTCATACTATTGACGCAGTTCAAGTTCTCAAAATAAGAAGTGCACTATATCCAAGAGATGTTGGTGATTTTAAATGTGTTGCATCAAATGGAGTTTCACCAGATGATGAGTTAATTGTCAGCTTGGATGTTCAAGGTATTTAAGCAGAGGAATAACTTTGTAGCGAAGCCCGGCACTCGCGCTCTTGCGTAACCCCGTAACTAAGATTATTTGGTTAATATCTAGTATCCTTTCAATAAATTTTGGTAGTCACGTTACCGCCCGTCCGTCCGTCTGTCTGCACCTTGGGGAAACCTATGTGAAATCTCACTCTTTCTAGCTTGTGTGGGAGCCTGGAACCGATTTTGCACATCCATGTTGTGGTCAACTGACAGCTCACGGCAAAACAGGGTATTCGCTGTCCGGTATCATATGACCATACTGTGAGCTCAGATTTCGTCGACCCATCGAGGCTACGTGTTTTTTTTCTCTTTTCCGCTGACAGGTTAATGTTTTCAACTGATCGCAGGCTCAATTCTAAGTGGATTTATTTCCAAAGGTTACACATTTATTGTTTGCCATAAGCCTTGGCCAGGAGCCTGCCTTGGCTTAATCTATATTATGATTTTGTGAAACGAATTTATATAAATCCATTCCAAAGTGACTTGAAGACGAAAACCATATAGAACCAAAATGTCAGTATACAACTCCTGTAATCAGTTTAAACGCATAGACAATTTTGATGCACAACACGTTCTGAGTACCTGTAACAGCTTTTCCATCCTTTATGGATGACTTCCAGGTGAGAAGGTCTTTAAAAAAAATCCTGAAAAATTATACAAGCACAGGAATTTACAGTTAAAATTCTAGAAACTTATTTTCAGCATGACTGTTTTATTACAAGATGCGTAAAATGTCTGTATCCTTGCGCTTATGTTTAAACCCTGTAACATTGTATATGGACCTTTCATTTCTTTGCTAACCCTGCAATGTAATCGATTTTATTATTTACGTACAGTTTCACCCACAATTGAGAATAGGGGATCAGAAGTATCCATAGAAGAAGGCAAAGAAGCCACTATATCTTGTCGAGTGACCAAGAGCAACCCACTGCCAACATTCACTTGGCAGTATGCGGTCATAACGTCCCTAAAGGAAGATCGGTGGGAAACTGTTCCTGGTCGGCTGATACTTACCAACAGCTCAACACCGTCAAATGAAAGCATTGTGAAAGTTGAAAAAGACCAACGAGATGCAGAATACCGTTGTGAAGCACGCAACTCCTTGGGAAGTGATTTTTATATCTTTAGATTGGCCAGACTTGGTAAGAATATCCCTCAGAAAGTATTTACTTTTATTGTCTAATAGCTTGCAAGCAAGATCCTCTCAGGGGGCGGAAGAGTCGTGAACTCTTTTTGTATTTGAAGCCAATCTATAAAAAACTATTAAATTTAGTTTTAAGCTTATTTATGAACATGTTAGCTGAATAAAGTAACGCAAGACTTAATTTGCATTTTGAAAACAAAAAACTTTTCCTCCGGTTTCATCGATAAATTCAAGTCAAACAGACAAATATTTAACTGTAAAAGGCTTCCAAAACGAATTTTGTTACCTTACTCGTGTTTTTCGGGAACAGCTTGTTTCATTTTTTGTGAAATTTCTTTGTTTGCTACGACAGCAAACCGGCGAGCCATTTTGCTTGTAACTTACCCGAGTTTGACGTCGCTCGCTCGGAAGATCTGGAGGTGAATCAGTGAGTAGCACTTGTTAGTATTCACCAAATCAGTGGATAGCGATCTTCGCGCGTTCTGATTGGCTCCCGTACTCGGATTATCCTTGAATATTCACTGTTTTGGGACGGGATTTAAAATGGCTTTTCGTTTCGCGACAGTTTCGAAATATGAAATCTTAGCAGTAAATGAATCAGCTGCTCCAACAAATACCAAGAAAGAGACAAAATTTGGTTTGTCGGCGTTTTCTGGTCTGTAGAAAAAAAAATTTCCTCCTGAATTTGCAACAAAATCATAAAAAATCCCCGAAACTGTGTCAATTGCAACGTAAATAAACTCTAACTGAGTGACGTCTTTTATTAATTACAAAAAGTCCCTTTTTTATCTTTATCCAACTGATTTGGTAAATGCTAAAACAATTATCCCCCTCAGGGTCGGTTTATAGAGCTAGATATATACCTCGACGCTTTGCCTCTCGGTATCTCCACTATTCACCTCTCCTTCGGGCGATAGTTGTATAATATCCCGAATTTGAGTAGCCAATCAGAGCGCGCGGAAAACACTCTCCTAGCTCCCCACCTCAAAGAGGCATTTTGCAGGAGAGACGTCTGCGCCTTTGATAACGACATAAATTCTATACTAAGAAGACGCAAAGTCTGTCCGGAATCTGTCCAGGAGCTCTGCTTGATTGACCTAGTAATTATTCGTGCAGGATTTATTTTCTTCTTTGGAACAAGTATTTCAGTTTTGCTGCAACCGTTTGACACAATAACTCTGGGTCAAGACCTTACCATTATAGACCGAGAAAAACAAACTCCAACAAATTTACGTTTGGAAATCAATGATTACTAGATTAATTATGGAAACATTGATCTTTTGATTCACCTAAAATGTCTTGAAGCAGTCATTAGATCAGGAGTAACTCAAAGCCCTATCCATGCACAGCATTCATAGTAATTATTACAATGATTGACTCTTTTTATTTGTTTTCATCAACAGCAAAGAAACTCATAATTGACACTGTTAAAACTCTGACTGAGGTGAACGAAAAGTTTACCTTACACGTCTATTGCATCGTCACTGACCTGAGTTATGGGTTGCTCGATATTGTTTTCTCAAAAGATGGGGAAAAAATCCAACTGAGTGATCCGCGTGTCAATGTCACATTTGAACAGCTACTGACAAATAAAAAGCAATTCCATCTCACATTAAAAAATGTGTCACGAAATGATACAGGACACTATGGATGCACGACCGCTAAGTCATTTCCAACGCTTCTTAGCAGCATAAATATTACAGTGAAAGGTGAGTGGGCTATTTTAACATTGATTAGACATCACTAGGAAAAACGTGTGGGGACTCCTGTTGTAAATACTGTTTTTATAGTGGTTAAATCTTCTGCCATTGGTTGGGTGCAATTAGAGACCTTTAGATTCTAAGACGAGTACGACTAGGAGTACGAGATTTTTTCAGTACTTTTGTACTAAGTAGTACTCGCGCGTGAACCAACGTAATTTTGGCGGGAAAACTTGGTAGCCGTCGTCACTCTACTACGAGTCTTAGCGAGATTGTCGATGTGGGGAAAACAAGTTATCAAATGTTAGAAGTTTTATCATTTTGCTATCGGGAGAGGGCGTAACCTCCTTCACTAAAGGTAACAGTGCTAACTTGTCTCCTGAAAAATAGTAAAATGAAGCTTTCCGGGGAGTCTATATTTTGACAATACGCGAAAAAACTTCAAGTCAAATCTCGTACTCGTAGTCTTTCTCGTCCTTAAATGTAAAGGTCTCTAATATTATTCATAACTCCTGCAGAATTTACAGAAAGTCAAATAAAGTGCCAAAAAGGTGTATTATGCAGCCAATTATTCGTTTCTGTACAGACTCGACTTTATGGCTGTGAGAGGTAGCCTGATCCTCCATTAAGTTTCTCGAAGCATGTCTGGGTTTTAGCTCCGCGGCGATATTCTACTGTACATGTGACGTGATACTATCGTACCTTCAATAGCCAGTGCTCCAGAACACCAGTTGTTGAACGGTGGTTTGTATGACTTAAAACTCTTTGCTATAGGTGGAAGCGCTCCAGATAGTATAGTGTGGCGGTGTCACTTCATTAGTCAGTTAGCTTACATGTTTCTTTCTGGGTCTGGACCAAGCTCCTAGACCAGCGGGACTACCATCGGCAAAGTTGGTGTACTTCTCAGAGATCAACGTATCCATTTGACAGTCTTGGTGGATTAAGTGCAGTTTCAGGGCCCGGCTCCTGAATGAGCTGATTGGCGCCAATCCAGAAATTTGAATATCATTCCGTTTTTGTATTTTACCTTCCTATTTATTGCTTAAGAAGAGTTACATTTCGTGTTATCATTACTGTTTCTGGGCGTAAAAGCTCAACAGTATTTTGTTAGCTCGAGTAGAATGTTCTTAGACAAGAAAACCTTGCTTGCAAAAATTTGGCTTAACCCTAGGTTAAACTTAATAATCTTTCGAGGAATCGGGCCCGGGTGTTCAAAATTGCGGCAGATTGAATAGACTGCAAAACAGCCAGTTTTTTTCTCAAAATCAGTAAAGAAATCGCCCCAGTCTCGCTCTCTGTTTTCAGCCTCGTTCCAGAGCTTTTGTTTGACTGCTCGCGCGTACTTGAATACGAAAAAATACGGACTGTTTTGCAGTCTACAGATTAAAGCAAGTTTANAAATGATACAGGACACTATGGATGCACGACCGCTAAGTCATTTCCAACGCTTCTTAGCAGCATAAATATTACAGTGAAAGGTGAGTGGGCTATTTTAACATTGATTAGACATCACTAGGAAAAACGTGTGGGGACTCCTGTTGTAAATACTGTTTTTATAGCGGCTAGATCTTCTGCCATTGGTTGGGTGCAATTAGAGACCTTTAGATTCTAGACGAGTACGACTAGGAGTACGAGATTTTTTCAGTACTTTTGTACTAAGTAGTACTCGCGCGTGAACCAACGTAATTTTGGCGGGAAAACTTGGTAGCCGTCGTCACTCTACTACGAGTCTTAGCGAGATTGTCGATGTGGGGAAAACAAGTTATCAAATATTAGAAGTTTTATCATTTTGCTATCGGGAGAGGGCGTAACCTCCTTCACTAAAGGTAACAGTGCTAACTTGTCTCCTGAAAAATAGTAAAATGAAGCTTTCCGGGGAGTCTATATTTTGACAATACGCGAAAAAACTTCAAGTCAAATCTCGTACTCGTAGCCTTTCTCGTCCTTAAATGTAAAGGTCTCTAATATTATTCATAACTCCTGCAGAATTTACAGAAAGTCAAATAAAGTGCCAGAAAGGTGTATTATGCAGCCAATTATTCGTTTCTGTACAGACTCGACTTTATGGCTGTGAGAGGTAGCCTGATCCTCCATTAAGTTTCTCGAAGCATGTCTGGGTTTTAGCTCCGCGGCGATATTCTACTGTACATGTGACGTGATACTATCGTACCTCCATTAGCCAGTGCTCCAGAACACCAGTTGTTGAACGGTGGTTTGTATGACTTAAAACTCTTTGCTACAGGTGGAAGCGCTCCAGATAGTATAGTGTGGCGGTGTCACTTCATTAGTCGGTTAGCTTACATGTTTCTTTCTGGGTCTGGACATAGCACCTAGACCAGCGGGACTACCATCGGCAAAATTGGTGTACTTCTCAGAGATCAACGTATCCATTTGACAGTCTTGGTGGATTAAGTGCAGTTTCAGGGCCCGGTTCCTGAATGAGCTGATTGGCGCCAATCCAGATATTTGAATATCATTCCGTTTTTGTATTTTACCTTCCTATTTATTGCTTAAGAAGAGTTTCATTTCGTGTTATCATTACTGTTTCTGGGAGTAAAAGCTCAACAGTATTTTGTTAGCTCGAGTAGAATGTTCTTAGACAAGAAAACCTTGCTTGTAAAAATTTGGCTTAACCCTAGGTTAAACTTAATAATCTTTCGAGGAATCGGGCCCGGGTGTTCAAAATTGCGGCAGATTGAATAGACTGCAAAACAGCCAGTTTTTTTCTCAAAATCAGTAAAGAAATCGCCCCAGTCTCGCTGTCTGTTTTCAGCCTCGTTCCAGAGCTTTTGTTTGACTGCTCGCGCGTACTTGAATACGAAAAAATAGGGGCTGTTTTGCAGTCTACAGATTAAAGCAAGTTTATTGCTTTCAATATTGTCTCAGCTTGTATGAAGGTGTGACTTGAATCATCTATATTGGTTATGAGGTGATTTATTTAGGTTTCTGGCAAACTGCCCACCTACCCCTCCCCTAAGCAAACATTAGCGCTTACTTCTCACTGAGGGCAAAATGATAGCTTAGGGAAGGGGTAGGTGGGCAGCCTCCAGAAACCTAAATTGATCCATCTTGTCAAAGTCCATACAAACAGTCCAGACAGGTTTTTCACCAAGTTTTAGTGTTCAATGTAAAAGTACGAATTCATGGCACTATGGGCAGAAGCATTGGAAATACCGTAAAATTCCGAAAAAAAGCCCCTCCATGTATAAGCCTGTCCAAATATAAGCCCCCCCCCGCCCCCCCATCTCATAACGCAAAAAACCCGCCGTTAAATCGCCCCTCTAAATATAAGCCCCCTGGGGGCTCTTCTTATAATTGCCCTCAATTACAAAGTAAAAAAAATCAAAAACGATAGATTTTCTTTCCAACTATAAGGCAACCCCAATCGATTTTGAAACCCAAATTTCCCCCCGAATATAAGCCCCTCCAAAAATGAGTCTCTCAAAAAGGGCCTCTGAAAAATTTAAGCCCGGGGGCTTATTTTCGGAATGTTATGGTACTTTCAATGAATATCCTGAACGTGCTGCTTCCCTTAACTATGCTGGGTGGATGTGTGTGGTATACTACAGGGAGTTCCAATGTGGTCAGTCGGCTAGCCTTAACTGATTAGAGTGAATACTACTGGGGCTCACTGGGGCTGGCAAACAATGAGCGCCCATTCCAGATCAAGCTGTTCATACCTGTTACTTATTTGTTGATTCATCTTTTGCCAACCTCGTTCCCAGGGCTTTTCAATGGGAAAAGCCCTGGGAACGAGGTTGATCTTTTGCCCCATAAGAGCCCCTGCCAAGGAGTCGTAGGAGCTTGTGATCAAGCTTTGGGGGTACGTAGGGGATGGAGAGGAAAGGTTGCAACGGAGTCTCAGTAGGTGAATTCTGCCTCCAGTGCTTTAATTTCCACGCCCATCCTCAAAGAGCCATTTCCCCGGTCAGAAATACATTTAAAATCGCTATTTTAATTTAAAAGATTATGTATTTTTGCCTTCACAGCTCTAAAAGCACCAAAAATTTTTGATATACCTGACGTGACAGTTGTTCAAAAAACACAAGGTGTTAACGCGGAGTTGCATTGTGATGTTACTGGTAACCCAAAACCCTCCATCACGTGGTACTTCTCTAAGAATGGAAAAATAAAAGAAATAAACAGGGAGAAAGATGACCTGGACGGCGATAAGGATCTAATGTTTTAAATTTTTATTTTCTTATATACAATTATTATTATAATAGAAATAGATTTTTAATAAAAATCGCTCAGAGAGGCGGCACGGGAGAGTTGGAGATGAGAGGGGGGAGGGGGAGGGGGGGGGGGGGGGGGGAGTCAAAGGTATATGTTGCGGCTCAATTTTATCCTTGGTTTAATAAATTTTATAATTTTTCTTTTTTGGGGAGGTATGGTAATATATGATTATGAGTTTGAAACAAAAAAAGGATACAGTGAAACCTCTATTGAGCGGACCCCCAATCTAAGCTAATTAAGTGGACACCCTCTATTCAGCGGACACTTAGCCGGGCCCCGAAATTAGCGTCTTATATTTCCCTTTATAACGAACCCGTATTCAGTGGACACCTCTATCAAGCGGACGCGGACACTAAAATATATTGTATTTGGCTAATTTCTATCGTTAATTACCTCTATTAAGCGGACACCGGACCGAATTCATTGACAATAGTAGTATTAGATTACGTCCTTGAAATATGTAATAAAGATAAATCATTACATTTAGCTGTCAATAAAATGTAGATTAGGCCTTAAGTCTTGCACAAAGTATAACACAGCTTCCTTGCCTTCCTTAACAACATGGAACTTTATCACAGTACAGAGTAACCGTTGAAGGTTAATCGTTAACAAACATTTATGCAATTTTTACAAACCTCTAGTAAGCGGACACCCTCTATTAAGCGGACACTTGGAAAGGTCCCAAAGGTGTCCGCTTAATAGAGGTTTCACTGTAATAAAATTTAAATCTTAAGGATAAAATTGAACCACAACATATACATCAATACAAATAATCATCTTTGCATAAACTGGTTTTGTATATATACAGACTGTAACACCAGATAGTCTGCTATACCGCCGTTTTTAGAGTCGTCACGCAATGCTCCTCCCCACGTTGCGTGACGACACTAAAAACGGCTGTGTAGCAGACTATAACACTAGGCGGTTGGATAAAAGTGAAAAAAATATTGTAAATAATTATAAAAGTCGTCAATTGGAAAGAGCTTTGTTTACATTTTATCTAAGAATGTTTATATTTTAGTGCTAATTCAGTAAGAGCCACTGACAAGCCAAGTTAAAGTTGGTATTAAGGTTTCTTCATTATAGAGTCATAAAATTTGTTCTTTCTTAACTTTCGATAAACAAGACACTATTTTGACTCCCATCAACAAAAAAATAGCCACGGATTATTGCCATCAAAACGTGCGAACACTGCTATTCAATGAATTGGTAAATAATCATTATTATTGCTGTTTGAAATGCGACAGCATGTTTGAAATACTAATCATTTTCAGCATCATTCTGATGATTCGTCTTATTTTGTCAGTGGCACCAGTCATAAATGAACCTGAGGTAGGCTACGCACATCTTTCACTCAAGATTGGTGAACCACTGAACATAAGCTGTGTGGCGATAGGGAATCCTGCTCCCAGTGTCACGTGGTTAAAGAATAGCACAGGAAAGGCAGTCTCACCAACTTCAACCAACTCCCAGCGATTGATCATTAAATCAATGAAAGACAAGGATTTTGGACTCTATAGTTGCATTGCCAGTAATAATCTGAGCCATACGATGGCTTCCGTTGACATCAAGAAAAGTACGTTCATTTCACATTTTGGTGCATACATAGTTTGATTGCAGAGGTGAAGTTTCTGTGAAATATGTTTCATGAGCACCTGACTTTGCTAGCGGTTATTTCCTTCACTTCTTTTGTTTAAAGAAAATTTAAAAAATTAGAGGGAAATTGTTTTTTTCTTATTTTCATAAAAAAAGTTATTGCCTTGTAGCCGTTGATCGGTTTTTAAAAAGGGATTTAGGATTAATTAACTGCCCACGTACCCCTCCCCTAAGCCAACATTTTGCTTTAAGTGAGAAGTAAGTGTTAATGTTAGCTGAGGGGAGGGGGTAGGTGGGCAGTTTCCCAGAAACCTAAATTGATCCTTAATTTAAACCCTTTTTTCTCCAGGTGTGCCAACCGCCCTCTTCCCCTACCCCTCCCCCTCCCCGGCAAAAGCTTGGATTTTTAACTTTAATTCAGTTTTATTAAACAGCAGTTCAAGGCCTCATTCAATTTTCAATTTAGACTTAGTAGGTACAAACAAATTGAATTAATCGATGGCATCAATGCAAGCAATTAAATCAATGATTTTAAAATAGGTAATCGTTAATTTTGTACTCACTAGTCTCATAACTAAGACGATAACTGCAACTTCCAGAAAGTAATTAAAAGTAGTACCATATTGCCAAATAGATTCTTGTGCTAAAAATATCTTTAATAAGGCACGCGACAATTAGTGACTCCGATCATCATTCAAAAATATTAAACTTATACCCAGAAAGTCGATCCTTAAGTTATTTTGTGCTATATTGAAAGCTTAAGAAATTAGACTAGCCCCCCGTCCCCGCTGTTTTTTGAGGAATTAGATAGAAGACCCATGCCTTAATTTTCTTGAGTTCCACTCAAATATCGAGGAGAGTGCGACAGCCGCCATTGTTATGGAAAATTAGCCAGATGGTTTAAAACAATCGGTGATGGGGAGATATCTTTTCAATAAATGATAAATTTATCTTTTTTCCTCTTTTCCAGGGGAATCAATTCCTGTTCCTCCTGATCGTGGACTAAGCACTGGTACGCTGGTGGGCATTGCTATTGGTGTGAGTGTATTTGTTCTTATCGTGCTAGTGGTGTGTTGTTGTCTTTACCATCGGCAGAAGAAGCAGATAGATGAGTATAAGCAGCTTTATTTCCTGAAGACATCATCAGACTACAAGGTATATCGCAATTTATAATCAATTGTCCTTTCTCTCGGTATAATTATACTTCTTTGTTTAAAAGTGTGTAACTATTTCTGTTGCTTTTCTTTCTCCTCCACCACCACCCTCTCCAGGGGCGGATCCAGGATTTTTTTTAGGAGGGGGTGCACTCGTCTCTTGCTCTACTTCAACACCAATAAACCACATAGTTTTTTTTTTTTGCAGAATTCTAGTTGTATTAGAAAACCGCAGGTCATCTCGGGGGGGGGGGGGGGGGGTGGCCTGGGGGGGGGGGGGGGGGGGGGTGCGCACCCCCTGCACCCTCCCCCTAGATCCGCCCCTGCTCTCCGGCGGAAAAACAATAGAAGTGTGGTGGTGGTGGCAAAGGAAAACAATAGACATGTGATGATGGTGGTGGAGGCTAAACAGTAAAAATGTGATGATGGTGGTGTTGGTGGTGGTGATGGAGGTGGTGGTTAAGGGAAACATTATAACTAGGCGGTGGTTGTAGAGGTGGATAGAAAACGATGGATGTAATGGCGGTGGTGGTGGTATTTAGCTTCACTATTCACAATTGATATCATTACAAATAAACTGTGTTGGAACGAATGCGGCTGTAGGTTCAATGTGGAGTCGATGTAAGGACGATGTAGGGCCGATTTGGGGTCGATGAGGGGCGATATAGGTTCCATAATGTGTAGGTGGCGGAGAAGAGAAAACAATAGAAATGTGGTGGTGGCGGTAGTGGTGGTGGTGGTGGTGATGGGAAAGTAATGGAAATGCGGAGAAGCAAGAAGGGAATGAAAGAAAGAAGTAGAAAAAAGAGCAGGATTTCCTTCTTTGTTGTTAAATATGCACAATTTGCGCGCCAAGAATCAGTGAACAGGAACTGGAACAATTTGTTGGACAATGAAAGCGGCAGGAAAAAGTACTTGAATGTATAATTTAAATTACTTTACAACTGAATGACTTTAAATTACTAGCGAGTTAGAGCTTATTACTTCGACAACCTGAATCAACCAATGAATACTTTTCTCGCAGTTTCAGCCAACCAATTAAAAAGCAAGTCCTTCATCGACTTAGAAATAACTATAAAACCTGTCCAACGGATTAAACTACTTAAATATAGCACATGATCTTATCTTAATGAGAATCTGCCACATTTTGTTCATGGGAGAAAGACAAAAGGCAATGACGTCATCGGCGTTAATGTTTCCACCATAAACTGATGAGACTCTCCCCCAAAAAGGTTAATTTTGGTGCCTACTATGCTCCTTACTTACCTACCTATCCACCTACCTAACAAGCTACCTAACCACCTACCTACCTAGCTTCCTAACTATCTCTTTACCTACCAACCTAACTACCTGATTTGACAAGTATTTTTCCAGTAAAACGTGCTCCAGGAGATTAAAAAACAGACAGCTCAGACTTATACAAAAACAATGTGCCTTGTTTTAGATTGACCCAGATCGCAGCCTGCTGGAACAGTGCAATGACTTACCTTATGACCCAGACTGGGAATTTCCTGAAGAAAGACTCATCCTTGGAAATGTGCTTGGTGCAGGAGCTTTTGGACAAGTTGTTGAAGCAGAGGCCATTGGTATCTTGGCGCTAAATCCGCGAGACAAGAGCGCAGAATCTTTTAAGCGACGCTCAAAGATCCGTCGGTCTTCAATGGCAAAGGACCTGAAAAAGGGAGGTGGTGGCTCGGGATGGAAGAATGTTAAAGTCCCTGTTGCAGTTAAAACCTTGAAAGGTTTGCAGTTGAATTGAAGAAAAATAATTTTAACCTTTTTAATGTTTACACAACATTGTTTGTAATACGTTTTGTTTCTTGTTGTAGAGGATGCCACACAGACAGAGTACAAAGATTTGGCTTCAGAACTCAAGATACTCATTCATCTTGGACAGCACAAGAACATTATCAATCTTCTCGGAGCCTGTACAAAGGGAAAACGCCTAATGGTGATCATGGAGTTTGCTCCACATGGCAACTTGCTTAACTTTCTTAGAGCGAGAAGGGATACATATGAAGCGAGTTGGACCAAGACCATGAACGAGCCAGAGAAGGAGTTCACTTTAGTAGATTTAGTGATGATAGGTTTCCAGGTTGGTCGTGGAATGTCATTCTTGGCGTCCAAAAAGGTAAGAGTAGTAAGGTTGTACATAGTTGGGATTTTTTCCTAACAGCGCCAGCTGTTCTTTTCTTGACTCCTATCATTGTTACTCCTTTTTTTCGACTGGTTTGTTTTCAATGGTCTTTTTTATGAAAAAGCTTGATTCCCTTTTTGGTCTTCGGCCAGTCACGAGTTCGTTCTGTTGCCCCAACGTAACGGCAAATTTACACGGTATGATATACCTGATTCAATAAAGGGTGGTTTGGAAATTGGGCAGCTGCGTGATCAGATAAAAACAAAACAATTTTAATGGATAAAAAATTACGTCACACTTCTAATTTAGGTGTAGAAATCATGAAAAGAAACCGACAAGTAAAGCGGAAACTTGGTCACGTGGTACAAAGTCGCGTTTGCCGTTTGACATAAACGTGATGCTTAACCCCTCTATTGCAGTGAGTTCCGTATTCCCAATTCTCAGTGTCCCATTGCCAAAGCAGCCTTTGTTGCTAGAGATTAAGTAAATATCGGGCTGATCTTTCTGTCGATAGCAAAAGGCCACGATAAACATTTCCGTCAAGTCAGGCTGATTTGTAAAATCTGTCTCAGCGCAAAAATCATTCTGCTCGAAACTCCATGTGTGCAACCTGTCACACCTGAACACAACGCGTAAATGAGACAAGCTACCTAAGATATCCAAATTTTTCCATTCAAAGCACTATAGCTGGAACGTCTTACAGAGGGCCACCTCTCGAAAGCGACTTCTACCAGTTTCGAGGATTATGGTTTAAAGTTTTTAATTGTTTTTAACCTCCAAGTAACGGCGTTGTACAGTCGTGTTCTGAGACTCCGCCCAATCTTACTAAGACAGCGAGTTTTGTTCTTTCGTTACGGAGTCTTATTTCTAACCCCCGTCGATAGCTTAATGTTAATACGCACTATTTCAACAGACAAAATATGGCATTTCACGTATTGTGGGTTGTACTTTTCTCTTCAGTGCGTTCATCGTGACCTGGCTGCAAGAAACATTTTAGTGGGGGATGATTATGTTATGAAGATAGCTGACTTTGGCCTGGCAAGAGACATTTATAAAGATGATCAGTATGTCAAGAATACGCAAGGGTTGCTTCCCGTAAAGTGGATGGCTCCCGAGTCGCTGTTTGACAGAGTTTACACTGAGAAAACAGACGTGTAAGTACACAAGGTTTCCTTAATCTCTTCACACACATTAACCCTTTGACGGCCGCTTTGGTCATTGGGATCTTTAGAGAAAGGTGCACATGTACCTGATCCCGGCTTCCACAGGTACAATTTATTTTGAAATTTTTACCAATCTTGATAGAGTTACACAAACCCCAACAACGTTTTAGTGAAAAATCCACCTCCAATTTTGCCATTCACCTACTACTTTTTGCAGATTAAATTTGTCCCTTTCCTGGAAAGTTAGCGAGAAAAAATTCCACGCGAACGAAAGGCGCTAAGGGGGTGGGCAACAAAACTGGCTATAAAAAGGAAAGGCAAAGAAAAAAGCGACCAAACAAAAGAAAAGAAAAACAAAGAAAAGATCCGTAACCAAGTCGAAATTTTGTCTTATGTGCATGCTCAAGAAAAGTTTTAATTAAAAACTTGCCTATATCCAATGCCACAATTAAGAAAGTGACCAGAAAAAGGTTTATAATAGCCGTGGAATGATTTTTTGGAAACAGACCAAAATTGAATAAAATATACTTCTTTTTCTTTAGCGTGCAGTAACTTGAATTCCCTAAATTCCTGTCACAGGGTAGGACGTAATGACTTCTAATATTTATCTTATTTTGACAGAACTCTTCAGAGATGTCTACCGATCCAGCTTGATATAAAATGAATCTCCTCAGATTATCCCCCCAAAAATCACATTTTGGCAATTTTAAAAAAAATGTTTACCAAAGCCTTTGTCTCGTACATAACTATTTTTGGCTGAAAAGACATTTATTGATCATGATCATGGTTATTCTTATCAAAAGGTGGTCATTTGGAATCCTCCTATGGGAAACGTTTACCCTTGGGGGTACCCCTTACCCTGGCCTCCCCACAGAGCAGCTTCTGGACTATTTGAGTGATGGCAAGAGAATGGACATGCCAACCAAGTGCCCTCTGGAAGTTTACACCATCATGNAAAGTCTTTGTCTCGTACATAACTATTTTTGGCTGAAAAGACATTTATTGATCATAATCATGGTTATTCTTATCAAAAGGTGGTCATTTGGAATCCTCTTATGGGAAACGTTTACCCTTGGGGGTACCCCTTACCCTGGCCTCCCCACAGAGCAGCTTCTGGACTATTTGAGTGATGGCAAGAGAATGGACATGCCAACCAAGTGCCCTCTGGAAGTTTACACCATCATGAGAGATTGCTGGATTCATGAACCCGAACAAAGACCCCATTTTATAACCTTGACAGAGAGAATTGCCAAAATATTGGAGAAGCATACGACAACGGTATTGAATTATTGATACGCTGTTAGACCGATCTAGATAGCCGGTTGGCTTGCCAACTGACGGAATGGCTTACTCACCTGATCACCTGACTACCTAACTGACTGAGGGCTGACAGACCGACCAACTTACTTACTGACTTTTAATGACTGTCTGGCTGAATTCATAGGTTGACTGACCAACTATTGACTTACCGACTGGGTGTCTCACTACATGGCAAAATCAGTATTCGATTATGTGCAAAGCAAAAACCTTCCCTTGGCCCTTCCCACGTTATTATGATAGTGTTGTGAATTGAGATCTTGAAACAGCATCTTTCAACTGCACTATCAGCTGTTTATACGACAGCAACAAAAGCACTTTTTCTTTGTCACCGTCCATCCGCCTGACCTCTTGCAACGACTGATGGACTTTGCGCCGGGAAAAGGAAGTTCCTCTGCTGAAGTTTTATTTATCTGTTTCACAGGATAACCCCTATTTAGCACTGCAAATGGACGAGGAGGTTCAACCTAGCACTGGTTACTATCTTCAACCAGTTGATAATGCAGGCGTTCGCGAATTCAAACGATACGTGAAATCACCAGTGCAGTCCCCCACAAGTGACACAGAACCCCCACAGTTTGGAGACTTGGAAGGAGGTCAATACAGGTGTGTTTTCTATGATATTTTTAATTCTCGTACATGTAGCTAACTACACAGTTCTGATATCTCGCGAGATCATAATCTCTTTTTAATGGATACTTCTGGTAGTCTTTTACTTAATTTGATTACAATGTACCAGAATTCAGTTTGTTATAGCTTTCTAATTGAAAGAAAAAAAATAGTATGGTGAAACTTGTTTTACATTACTCAAGCTAGTCTGTGTATCATCAAAACTGAAGAGTAGCGAAATGACTTTTCTGAAACAAATGATACCCTTTATACATAGTCTAATCTCATTATTCTTTGTTGCTATTTTCAGGTATGATTCCCCATTGCCCACTTTGCCACCAGGCCTGCCCGCCTCGAGCGACGATGAAATTCCTACGGAACCGCTCCCTCAAATCCCCCCTCCCTTCGAAACCGACGTCATGGATGAAAGGAGGTTTCTTGAAAGGGAAAACAGCGCAGGATGGGAGAGTGGTATTGACATGGACCCAACGGATGATGGTTATGTTGATGATATTCAAGCTGCTACCCCATTTCTGCCCCGTAAGGGTTATACACTGGTCGGCATAGACATGGAGAAGGTTTCTGAACCAAATATGTTGTCTAAAGGCAACAGACAAAAGGCCGAGACATCAGTTTGAGTTTTGGAAGTCCGATAGTCCCAATGTTGCCGGCGAAGCTTTCACTGCCAAGGTGCTCAAATATGCAAGGACGGCTGTGGGGAACGACGCTACATTCTTCATTCGGTCAGGATAAACGAAATTACTTTTAAAAGTGGTAACCAATAAATCAGTAAAAGAGTGTGCATTGACCGACACAAAACGCAACGATAGTTGGCTTGATTATTAGGGACATAGTTCTCTATATTTCGCGGAGAAATAATAATAATAATATTTAATATTTATATAGCGCAAATTAACATACAGGAGGATATGATCAAATGCGCTTTACATATTAAAATGGAATCCAAAATTACTATGTGACCTATTGACAATTTTGAATTTACAATAAAATGCGAAGATGTATACTATATGAAAGACTAAAAAGAAATTAAAGGCCTCTCTAAAATAGTGAGTTTTTTTTTGACTTAAAGGCGTTAAAATTTTGCTGTGACTGTAATGATTGCGGAAGACTATTCCAAATCTTCTGGGTAACATCGATACCGTGTAGCTCATTGCGAATATTAAGGATCTTACGATGGAATAGCGGGCAATGTCATTTGCCAGAGCCACATTATCATGACAATTGGGGAAACAGATTTCATCCTTTGGCATAAGGAGTGCCTTTGTTGCCCTGAAGAGTTTTTGCTGATCACCACCTTGTTCCTTTACAAAGCCCGCGNGTCGGCATAGACATGGAGAAGGTTTCTGAACCAAATATGTTGTCTAAAGGCAACAGACAAAAGGCCGAGACATCAGTTTGAGTTTTGGAAGTCCGATAGTCCCAATGTTGCCGGCGAAGCTTTCACTGCCAAGGTGCTCAAATATGCAAGGACGACTGTGGGGAACGACGCTACATTCTTCATTCGGTCAGGATAAACGAAATTACTTTTAAAAGTGGTAACCAATAAATCAGTAAAAGAGTGTGCATTGACCGACACAAAACGCAACGATAGTTGGCTTGATTATTAGGGACATAGTTCTCTATATTTCGCGGAGAAATAATAATAATAATAATAATATTTAATATTTATATAGCGCAAATTAACATACAGGAGGATATGATCAAATGCGCTTTACATATTAAAATGGAATCCAAAATTACTATGTGACCTATTGACAATTTTGAATTTACAATAAAATGCGAAGATGTATACTATATGAAACACTAAAAAGAAATTAAAGGCCTCTCTAAAATAGTGAGTTTTAAGCAATGACTTAAAGGCGTTAAAATTTTGCTGTGACTGTAATGATTGCGGAAGACTATTCCAAATCTTCTGGGTAACATCGATACCGTGTAGCTCATTGCGAATATTAAGGATCTTTCGATGGAATAGCGGGCAATGTCATTTGCCAGAGCCACATTATCATGACAATTGGGGAAACAGATTTCATCCTTTGGCATAAGGAGTGCCTTTGTTGCCCTGAAGAGTTTTTGCTGATCACCACCTTGTTCCTTTACAAAGCCCGCTTAAAATGTTTTCCTTGCTTGGTTACCTAAGTAACGTGACGTGAATTCGCAAACTCTTGAACACCAGCAGGTCTTCAGCGGACTTTGTCTTTCTCCACGTTCGCTCAACCTTGCGTCGCTTTTTTTTTCGCCTCGGCAATTTCTTGGTTGTACCAGGGGACCTGGGGCCCGTTTCTCGAACGTCCCGATAATTAACGGGCCCGGTAAGCTGTCTCCGTTTACATTAAAGATCGAGGTTTCAATAGTTTTGCATCTAACGTGATAAAACTGTCAGTTAGTGAAACAAAATGGAGCAGTTTGTTAGCCAGGACTCGCGCTCTTATTCTTTATATTTCGATTTGAATATTTGATTTCGGGCCCGTAAAGTTACCGGGACTTTCGGGAAACGGGCCCCTGGGGCCTTGACCTCACTACTTTAAATTTCAGGGGTGCATGACGATCTAATATACTGCTTAGGGTGGAGTTGTAACTTTGTACAAACTTGTCAAAATCTTCTCAAGAGGATAGGAAACCCAACACAGCCTTGCAAGCACAGATCTGACTTCGCGATACCTTTCTTGAGGCAGTCAAGATCAACAGACTTCGGGTGCGACTTTGGGAGGATCCGGATGAGGATCAGTGATCCGAGATCACTCGGACCATGGTAGATCAAGTGAACGATGAATCCACTCTGGACAAGGATTCTTAAGTTCATTTGATCTACCATGATCCGAGTGATCTCGGGTCACTGATCATGATGCGGATCATCCCAAAGAACCGCATCCTTGGTCTTCCTATAAGTCACCCTCTTTGCTTGGGGCGCAGGCTTGTTTATGCAAATACTACAACGAACAGCCCAATGATCAGAGAGGTAACGACAACTGCGTGGATAACGAGATCAAACGTGTGACAAAATATATGTGTCGGTTCGGTAACGTGCCGTTCAAGCCCAAGCGATTCAAGTAGATCAAGGAACTTTTTAAGAACCGTGAGAACCGTGTGGTTTTCCGAAAGTGGTGTTCGGTGGTGTTATTAAGCAATAATAATCCTTAGCTTGCATTGCAGGATGTCGACAGTTGTACAAGTAGCTCAGAATAATCGATGGCCTCCTTCTCAGCAGATCTGACGGTATTAACTCTTAAGCAGTCCTATGCCCCCTCCGCCCCTTCTTGAGCGAGGATGGTACTATCAGCTTATAACCATTTGGGCAAAGTTCATAGATAACTGCATCATCTCTTTTTTGTAGCCTGGTCTCGGCAATTGCGACGAGATCGCATCTGTTTTCGCATAGATAGTCAACAAAGTCTGCCGTCTTACTTCTAACTGATTGCGCATTTGGTAAACAAAGCAACAACAGTCGACTATTGTCTGGTGTTCTATTCAATGGAGCCCGTTCAATTTCAATAAGAATTGGAGGTGTTACGAGCTGACCAACACTTCGCTCTAGAAGCTTGTCCCAAAGTGAGTAGAATTAATGCCTTGTTGTGAGGGACCAAGATTTAATTTGAAAACTAAATCTCCTTCTAACAGCGGATGGAATATTGCGGTGCTGTTAGCATAATAAGCACAAGGGCTCTTGCTCCGCCCAGATCTATTCTTGAAGAAGACAAAAGCTCCTTTGTTTAACACAGATCCCGTTGGGTACACAACTGTACCTTGCAGGGGTACCCTAAGCTGCATAGAAGGCGTTTGCGCCCGATTTCTTTGAAACAGCAGGATTCCGTGTTCTAACTAATTGAAGTCATTTTTGAGATTATTGAATTGGAATTCGTTAAGGTTGGTTTTTGAGGATAAGTAAATCCTATTTCCCGAAGAAAACCTTCTTAAGGCAGAGAAAGAGAACCGAGAACGTTATGAACCTACCAGTGGTCTGGATTTGGGGTTCCAACTCGAGCTGCAGTGACCAGAAGCAACTGTCCTCACCATCCACCTCCTTGAAAACGATGTTTCCTCCTGAGTTAGCCGTAAGGGGTTCATTATTCAGAGGAATGCAAACGAGATT